TTAAGCCCCTGCAATGCAGGAATCTCAGCTAAAGCATCCATGACAGATGGCCACCCAACCTCTGCTTAAAAACCTCCAAGGAAGGAGAGTCCACCATCTATTGAAGGAGACTATTCCACTCGTACAGCCCCCATCATTAACAGATGCTTATTACATACACCAGTGAATAGCACAGCTCTTCAATGGCTAGAAAGTGCTCACACTTATGGGTCAGATTCCATGAGCTGGTTTTTGCTTACAGACATTTCTCCTTTTAAAAGCATGACTTTTTGCAGTAGTCCAATGGAAGAGTTGTTGGAATCTACTCGATTCCAAGTAGAGATGAATGAGTTGACAAACGGCTTTGTATTCCAGATCCCCAGTTGGGGCACAGAAGGATCAGGAAAGTTTCCCTGTCTGTCTACGCACACACAGCTCTCAAATTATTTTTTGTCCTGGCCTTCCTTTTCCTGTGAACTCATATACCCAGTGTGAGTGACTTACACAGCAGTGTTCAAACTTTCCACATTCATCTACCTGCTGTGGGCCTCTTGCGAAACGGCAGAGAATCAGGGATGTGCTTTCAGGAACACTCCAAGGATAAGCCGGGCAACAGCAAGATCTGTTATGTACAGCCTAGCAACACACTGCAATGAATTATCAATAATAGTGGGCAACTGGATTTTGGGCAATATGTCTTATGGATACCCTCAAGGAACCCCATGATTCTGTGGAGCTACCTGTCTTAAGCCAGGATATGGTTTCTGCCCACAGAGATCATTGCACTTGAGATCAAATTGTTTTTTTCTCCAAATCAGGATGGGAGAATGTGCCCTTCCCTAAAATAAAGGGCTTGGCATTTGAAGCTGTATTTTTTCATCTTGTTGCACACTATTGTATGGGTTCTACAGCTTGACCTGTGGGGACAGGTGAGTAGATGGGCAGACAGAGAACTGGGCTAGATCACCCCAGTGATTCCTTTTTCAATACTTTGCTGTTAGCAGTGTTGTGTCAGAATCAATATTTTTAACCTATGAAAAGCATTTAAATGTACAGTGGCTAGGAGGTCTTATACCAAAAGTGCTTTTCCCTGACCTCCAGTAGTAGTGGGTCAAATACTTTAGTCTAGGTATTGCTCAAAAATCATGACTGAATAGTGAGTACCAAGTGTGTGGAACATTTTGCAATAAGCACTGACAACTTAACAATCAAATTCCATTGTAGCAGTTTAAAGTGATGTCTGAGTGATGTAGCTAAATTGACATATTCACATATATAAGCCCAAGTTTTCAAAAGCGGTGAGAGATTTTTGAAACCAGCGTTTGCAGACAAGTTGGTCCTGCAATACAATTTCAATGCTGTATGCACTCTAGAGTGTTTAGTATTTCTCTCTGATGTTTGTTTTTCCATGAACTACACAAGTTCTGAAAATTTGGATAAATATAAAAATATGACTACTGTATAACACATTTAGGGCACTCTATACTCATTTAGAGGACGCGGGTGGCGCTGTGGGTAAAAGCCTCAGCGCCTAGGGCTTGCCGATCGAAAGGTCGGCGGTTCGAATCCCCGCGGCGGGGTGCGCTCCCGTCGTTCGGTCCCAGCGCCTGCCAACCTAGCAGTTCGAAAGCACCCCCGGGTGCAAGTAGATAAATAGGGACCGCTTACAAGCGGGAAGGTAAACGGCGTTTCCGTGTGCGGCTCTGGCTCGCCAGAGCAGCGATGTCACGCTGGCCACGTGACCCGGAAGTGTCTCCGGACAGCGCTGGCCCACGGCCTATAGAGTGAGATGGGCGCACAACCCTAGAGTCTGGCAAGACTGGCCCGTACGGGCAGGGGTACCTTTACCTTTACCTTTATACTCATTTAGGGACGCGGGTGGCGCTGTGGGTAAAAGCCTCAGCGCCTAGGACTTGCCGATCGAAAGGTCGGCGGTTCGAATCCCCGTGGCGGGGTGCGCTCCCGTTGTTCGGTCCCAGCGCCTGCCAACCTAGCAGTTCGAAAGCACCCCCGGGTGCAAGTAGATAAATAGGGACCGCTTACCAGCGGGAAGGTAAACGGCGTTTCCGTGTGTGGCTCTGGCTCGCCAGAGCTGCGATGTCACACTGGCCACGTGACCCGGAAGTGTCTCTAGACAGCGCTGGCCCCCGGCCTCTTGAGTGAGATGGGCGCACAACCCTAGAGTCTGTCAAGACTGGCCCGTACGGGCAGGGGTACCTTTACCTTTATACACATCACTCTGATCATTCATCCACCTGTGAGATGTTGCAAACTGCGGGGAGTTTAGAGTTCATGTAGAGCAAAAGTAATATATACATCCATCAACTATATATCAAATGAGGGATGACTTTAACAGGTTTGTTAAAGCTTTGTTCAGCAGACTTTAGTACTGCAAATAAATGTGAAGATAGCGATCAGTTTCATATTTTTGATGCCTACAAAGTTGCCCCAAGAGAACGAGCTATGCTCGGGGGTAGAATCCCAAAATTAAAAAGAAAACTTCACAGGTTCTCAGATCAGAAGCCAAATATTTGTGATCTGTTGCTAAAAACGGCTCAGGGTATTACACTGAAGCCTTGTACCAGGTCAGATTATTTGTCCACCTGGCTCTAACTATCATCAGGTCTCCAGGGTTCTTCCCACATCTTCCCATCACCTTGCTACCTGATCCTGAGGTGCCAGGGACTGAAACAACCTGGGACCTTCTCTATGCAAAACAAGTGTGCTGTCCCACAGAACTATGGTTACCACTGAGGAAGTCCACCAAACACAAGTGACAACTTGCTTCTGAGGAGATATGAATAAGGCTATGCTTTTAATTTCCAGAATTGACAATTTCTAAATGGCAGCTCAGGACTTTTGCTGGTGATTTCTGGGATAAAACGATGCAACACAAGGCTATCTGGCAGCCCAACATTACATGGAAGCAAAACAAACCCCAATCGGATTTGTTTTCAAAGACATTTAGGACCAAAGCATGCTGCATTTTGCAACCTAGTCTCATGTGTGAAGCAGCAAGTGACCCCTACAGCAAGAAATTTAGGCTGGATTAAGACTTAATTTGCAAATGGATTGTTTAGATCTTGCAAGCAGTCAACTGACAACAAGATTTTTGTTTAATCCTTTGGGAAGAAGGGCGAGACATACATTTAATTAATAAATATCCCCAAGAAATGGTAGATCTCTCTCTTTTTTAAAAAGGCAATTTTTCTGCCAACAATGTCATGTGGTCCATGCAAAAAAAACTTGCAAGCATGAGGAGCACTGACCTTGCAGCACCCTAAATTAGTTCCACTGAAATTAATGGGAAGTTACTAGTCACCATGAGTAACTTTTCACACTCATTTCTGTGGGGTCCAAGTGCAACAAAACTTTTTAGTCTGGATCCAACCAGTTGTCGCTAACCATTATTTCAAGATCAGCCTTTTCCAAGCCCACCGACACAATGCCAAGCCAAACCAGCTTCGGCCCAGAAAACCTCTCCCTTCTCCACCGCTTCCGTTGCACGCCAACCTCCTTGCAGAACAGCCAGTCCCTTCCACCGAACTCCGAAGCACACCTTTGCAGGCAGCGACAAGCCGATCGCTCCCAGCGTCCCGTACTGTTGCCAACGCGTTTTGCTTATAAATGCAGCCTCCCTTTCATTAAGCGAGTGCATTACAATGGGGGCATTACCGCAAATCTGCAGGCAAATTGGCCTCGCAGTGCAAAAGCGCCCTTTGTAAGCAAACGTATTGCATGCGCGGCGGCGTATAATGAAAATAATGGTTTCACAAGCGAGGAGCAAACAACCGGAGGCAGCGAGCGAACCGGAGCTGCAGATGTTGGAACGGGACAGGACCGTGGGAAGCGGACGGTGCCCCTTTCAAAGTGTTTCTGCTTCGCTTTCATGGAGCCGAAGTGTTTCGCCAAAAGGCCCTTCAAGTGGAACGATGGCGTGGCAGCCTGCCAAATCGCCCTCCGAGTAGAACCACTGACTTCAATGGGTCTACTCGGAGTAGGACTTAGTTGGAAAGCACACATGGGATTTTTAATGCATACCAGCCTTTTCCTTACTCTCTCTTTCCTATCCCTTTCCTTCCTCCAGGCGGCTCAGCAAACTGAAATCAACTCTGCACCTTTCCTAGGCTGTGCAAAGCAAACCAGCCGAAGGAGGGAAATAAAACGGGCGGGTTTTTTTCCGTCCTAGCTTCCTCTCTATGCCATCCAAGCAGCACAAGAGATAGGCGTTTAACTACCAGACTTCCTTAAGAAGTCGATGACACAATCAGGACAAATTCCTTGCATAAGCCTCGCGCAGGAAAGCAGCGCCGTCTTTGAAACTGCAAATTACGAGCATGTTCTTACGCGCGCGCACCGCGCTGCCCCCGACCCCGAACTATGCAAGAGGAAATGAAAATGCGAACATCTCAAGCAAAGCGGATTTTCAAAACAAACCACTGTATATTAAGTTTTCAAACCCAGCAGCAGCCCTGTCTAAAACGTGCTTTTGACCAAACGGGGAATCCCTTCCTAGCTAGCAGCAGCCCAGAACTGCAGCTGGGCTCAGCGTGGGAAGTTACCAAGGGGCGGGGTGCGTGTGCAAGCAGGTTTGCCGTCTGCGACTCGCAGCGCCACCCTGAGCGTGCCTCCTCCGAAGTAAGCCCAGCAGATCGGGCTCTCTCGGTCCCTGGTGGCGCGACACCTCCACGACTCTCGAGGGCAACGGGACCGTCCAGCTCTGGAAACCAAGGGAACCGCTCCAAAGGTCACAACGCAGCCCGGGCAGCCCTTAGCAGGCTTCGCCGCGGCGCCCCTCGCACGTATTCTGGGCTGCATTTGCAAAACGACGCCAAAAAATAAAACAAAATCGCGCCACTTCTAGTTGACAAGACACCCCCACCCACGAGCAGCCTGAACCCAACTCAGGGGTTCCGACTGCTCCGCTGCCAAGCGAGCCTCGGTCGGGGAAGTCCAACCAGGCGCCCGGCGCCCCCTCCTCCTCCCCGACGCCCAACCCCGGCGCTCCGACGGGCCCTTACTTCTCATCCACATGCGGGCTGGGCGAGCACTTGATGGCGAGCCAGGTCTTCCAGTGGACGTGGCGGACTTTGTAAACCTGCCCGAAGCCTCCCGAGCCGATCTTCTCCCAGCTGCCGAACTCGCTGGCGTCGAAGGTTTTCAGCAGCCCCATGGGCCACGCCGAGCGGCCCTCCTTCTCCATGCGGCCCCCGGATTCTTCCCCCAGTGTGACAGCCGGACGACTCGCCCCCCCGCGCGAGACACACCTGAACTGCACGGCCTCCCTTCGCGGACTGAGCGCCCTCCCATCTGGCGGCGCCGTCTCCTTTCCCCAGGTGACTCAAGGTGTGCTCATTCGCCAGGCCCCGACGTCACTTCCGGCCTTCGGCAAACTGCGAGGCCAGAACGCGGGGGCGGCGGCAGCAGCAGCAGCAGGGCAGCCTCGGCGGCTGCAAGAGTTGCGCGCTGGGGGTGGAAGGCAGCTTCCCCGCGGGAAGGAGAGACGGTTCCGCACCGCCTCGGGAGAAATTTGCACGGCTCCCGCTCTTTAGATGGAAAAGGAGAGTGTGCGAAGGGGTGTAGCGCCCAGTCTCTTGAGAGCCAGTGTGGTGTAGTGGTTAAGAGCGGTAGTCTCGTAATCTGGGGAACCCGGTTCGCGTCCCCGCTCCTCCACCTGCAGCTGCTGGGTGACCTTGGGCCAGTCACACTTCTCTGAAGTCTCTCAGCCCCACTCACCTCACAGAGTGTTTGTTGTGGGGGAGGAAGGGAAAGGACCTCAGAGAGCCAGTGTGGTGTAGTGGTTAAGAGCGGTAGTCTCGTAATCTGGTGAACCGGGTTCGCGTCCCCACTCCTCCACCTGCAGCTGCTGGGTGACCTTGGGCCAGTCACACTTCTCTGAAGTCTCTCAGCCCCACCCACCTCACAGAGTGTTTTGTTGTGGGGGAGGAAGGGAAAGGAGAATGTTAGCCGCTTTGAGACTCCTTAAAGGGAGTGAAAGGCGGGATTTCAAATCCAAACTCTTCTTCTTCTTCTTCTTCTTCTTCTTCTTCTTCTTCTTCTTCTTCTTCTCCTTCGCCTCCAGAAAAGGCTAAGAATGGCCCCACCCAGGAGTGCCAACTTGAATAAAATATTGGGGGGGGCAGGTAAGCCCCGCCCTGCAAAATCGATCACAAGACACAGCACGCGCACATCATTTGAATGGCAATGCTCATCAGCTTTTGGGGAGGATCCCAGCCCCCACAAATATTTTAGGGGGCTGGCCAAAGGGACCTCAGCCCTGCTCTGGCCCCACCTGATAGTCCCTCAAGACCGGCGAATTACTGGCAGATCTGTACTGGACCATCCGCACATCCTTCCGATTTATTAGTGGTTCTGCAATGCGTCCCTAATGTTGGTGTGTTATCGGTGCGCTGTATCAAAACAAAAGTGGAGCCGCCGCTGTCACCACCCGGAGCATTCGGAGTACCAAAGGTTACTTGGCAGCTATCAGGCACGCACCTATTGCAAAGGAAGTTTGTTTATTTAATGTCCTAGCTTTCTCCCAGTACAGTACCCCGGGTCGCAACATGCATTAAAAACAGGTGTGGGTTAAAAACACACCAATCAGTTGTATTTTTAAAGAAACAAGTAAATTGCTATATTAAAAACAGCACTGAATCCATGCAATTTAAAATCACTTAAAAGCACAAGAAAATATACAACAACACCCACTATTAAAAGACCCTGCTGCAAAACAAAACCCCTCTTTGCCTGCTGGCAAGAGGAAAGCAGAGACGGAGTCTAGCCTTCTACAGAAGGGAGCTCCACAGTCTGGGAGCAGCTACCTAGAAGGCCCTCTCTTGTGTCCTTACCAAATGTGTCTGCGAGGGTGGCAAAACTGCTGCTATTTAAATAAATGTTTTTACTCTGTGTCCCCCGCCCCATCTCTGCTTTACACAAACTGCTGTTGTTTAAAACCAGCTACTACCCCCCCCCTTTGTGTACTTCCCCCTTTCTCACTCCCATGCCATGGTTATGGCTGTTGTGCAACCTGCCTTCTCTTTTGCTCCACTCTGCAAACCCAGGATTGTGGTGAGGCAGTACAAATCTTCCAATGTGGGATGCATAAGGGCAGCCTTCCATTTTTTATGTATATAGGAAGAAAAGGAAAGAATGGATGCACTGTATCACATCACTATTCTTGGCAGCCTTGGTTCATTTCAGTAAATCACAGTTTCTATTTAGTGCAAGTTAGTAAACAGAAGCTATACAGCACCAACATTTGGTGTATTCTTGCCATGCCTTCTGCCCCATTTGGCTTACTGGAGCAGATTTTAAGGGTTTGCAGAGGTTGCAGGGAGATCAGTTGCCAATTTGTTGTTGTTGTTTTAAAAAAATTATTGATTTTCCAAAATTTTAAACAAACAAACAGATCTTAACTGTACTTAATCCAATCTTAGTAACATTGTTAAATTACTTCCTCAAATCCCCCTGGCTGAGTTTCATTGTATATCATTGTAACAGTTTTCCAAAACCAATTTCCTCATAAAATTAACTTAGTCACTTAATATCTTTCTTCCTTTTCATTTTAACTTTAAACATTTTATTCTCTAATGTCACATATTTAAATCCTAAGCCTATCTGGTATTTGCAAGTTTTTCCAATTAAGTTATCTTAGCATATTTAACTAAATAGTCTTTGAATTTCATCCAATCCGCCTGGTACTCCTCCTCCTTCTGGTCGCAGACTCTTCCAGTCAGGTTGGCTAGCTCTGAAAAATCCATCATCTTCATTTGCCATTCCTCCACTATTGGGACTTCTTGTGTTTTCCAATTCTTAGCAAACAAAATTCTAGCTGCAGTTGTGGCATACAAAAACAATCTTAACATCTTTCTTGGGCAATTCCAAACCTGTTATTCCCAGAAGAAAGTCCTCTGGTTTCTTAATAAATGTATATTTCAACATTTTTTTCAATTCATTATAAATCTTCTCCCAGAAGTCTTTCACCTTGGGGCAGGTCCACCACATATGATAAAAGGTACCCTCTCTTTCTTTACATTTCCAGCATAGATTATCACTATTATGATATATCTTTGCTAAGTTTACAGGGGTTAAGTACCATCTATACATCATTTTCATAATATTTTCCTTTAACACCATACATGCAGTGAACTTGACCCCTTTCCTCCACAACCTTTCCCAGTCTTCAAACATTATGTTGTGTCCCACATCTCTTGCCCAATCTATCATCACAGATTTAACTTGTTCATCCTTTGTATGCCATTCCAACAATAAATTATACATTTTAGACAGATTCTTAACTTTAGAGTCTAACAACTCCATTTCCAACTTAGTTTTTTCCAAAGCAAAACCATTTTTCTTATGATCAGTTGCCAATTTGTTTTCAGATCCAATATAATGCGCTCATGTTGACCTTTAAATCCCTAAAATGTTATGGGATCAAGTTAGTGGCATTTGGCCACAGAGTTGGCATGGGGTTTCTTCAAATGGGAGCAAGCCCTTTTGTGCTCTTTGTTTGCATTTCTGTAACCTTTTTATGTGTGAGGTTACGTGCACAGATTTCAAAGCATTTTGTTTACAGCTCCTTGGTTTGAGCTCACACCCACCCACAATGCATGTAATTTTGAGCAAGCCTAGTAAAGCCAAACTCACTCTGTGTTTTATTGATGCCCACCTTGAGCGTCCTCTTCTTGTGCTTGCCTTAGGGAATTGCAAGGTCCAGGAAGTAGAAACACAGTAATCCACCTCACAGAGCTGAACTGTTGTACGTTTCAACATGTTTACGCAGATAACAAGTGCTCTTCAAACCAAAGAACATGGAAAGATGAGACAAATGGCTTTTGTAGTTAAAACAGAAACAACAAACTAAGAAGTACCGACTCGCCCCGCCCTGCCCCCCTCAGGGCTAGTCAGTTTTTCTGATGGTTTGATAATTACAAGACTCTTAGTAGACAGAGACAGAAAATGGTTGGAGAGTAGGGATAGTAGAATATGCCCATTTCGGTACTTTATTCTTACAGAACATCAAGTTTTCAAGGTAGATTACAACATCGAGAGTAATAATATGGCAATATTACAGACACAATGAATGTATAGAACAGTACTTATTACCAAAAAGCTTAATTAATTCATTTTTCCATTCTTGAGTTCTCAACATTTCCATATCAGTTTGCAATTAAATAAAAATTCCTCAGGATTTTTTTTGGTGAGAATATCTTATAATATACACATTTCTGTTTGCAGTTCTTCCTACTATTGTATATGTGCTTGTCTAGTTCTGTGGCTCTGGACAACAAACAGGCAAATGACTGTGGCCTTCTGCTCTTTGAATGGAGAGATGTGGGCCATATCAAATGTTGAGACATCATCTTAGCTTGTGTTTAGCCATGTACCTTAACCTCTGCTGCACCTGTTGATTGATGAACCTTGTACCCTGACTTATGTACTGAAGTTATCTATGCATCCAAGCCTTTGACAAAAACAGAGACAAGGGTCCAGTACAGTTTCCACCAGTGACAACCAGGACAGTGAGCGCTTTGCTCAGTGGATGTGAGATTAGAGTTTAACTGTCCCTTTCCTTGCAAGCAGCTGCAGACAGATGACTTCAGTCACACTGTGGCAACAGAAAGGAAAATTCCCCTTCTATCCCCACTTCTAGGAACTACAGAGTAAAGGATGTGAACTCTTGAGTTCCTTCAGAGCTTTTTGAACTAATTCGGTGAACGTCATTAAACCAAACTAGTTTATTCAAAGCACTGGTCAAACTGGGGAGGAGGGTTAAGGCAAATATCATGTCTAGTCTGGCCCTCAGGCAGAGGAATCAGACTCTGGCACTGTTATAGCATAGCTGACATAACTTCATTCCAGTTTAAAGTGATGCTGACTTTCCATAAGTCTGTGTAAGTGCACTATTATTTTCACCCAGCAGAAACAGAACAAAGTTATGCACTAAGAAAATAATTCCTGTGTTTGCTGTGTTCTCTCATATGCTGCATATTGTAAGATTTTCTGCAGTAACAGAAAAGGTGAATTTAAAACAGAGGACTGTTTCACAGCAAAACTGAACAGCCAGGTTAACCCACAGGTGAATCTACTGAAATTGCAGAGGAAGTACACCATAGAGAGTTTCTAAGGAATGCTTTCCATGGTCAAAATACATTGACAACAAATGTGTAAGAGAGGTATCACTTTACCTGCCTTTTGCTCCCTTGCTTGCCCCTCCATTTAATACTTTTTTCTGAACGAGTCTAGCCTGTTGACCAAGTTGAGAATATACTGTTTACCTAATAAAAATCAGAACAGAAGCTGGAACTTGAAAAAACATGCATAGGAAGGTTGAGCAAAGTGCTACAGATAGTAAGGGGGGAGGGAGGGAGAAATCAAAGTTATATGCTAGCTTAAGAAGTGAAGCAAATCCAAACCGTCCCCAAAACCTGATTGTCCATAAAAGTTAATTATGAGTTAACGCACAAAAAATGAAATTGGTACCCTAACAAAACAACTCCCATAGGTGTCATTTTCACATTCTCTACAAAAGGGTGACTTGTATATGCACAGCCAAGACG